TATTAATATATATTTAATGTAATATATTAATGTAATGTTGAAAAATTAATATATAATTACATTTAATATATAATATACTATATTAAACAAGAATATACTATTAATAAGAAGTACAGTATAATAATAATCATTATGGCCACTAACATCTATGAAGCCCTTGCCAAGAGGCAGGCACTAAAGTGAAATGTCTTATACTAAGGACTAAGAAGTCATTGATCAGTAAAGACACAACAGTCCTTGCCCTCCTGGAATTTACAGTCTCATAGGGGAAAGGACATTAAACAAATGATCACACGAATAATTAATTAATCACTATGGTTTCAAGAGCCATGAAGGACAAGTACAGGGTACTCAACAGCATATTTTAATTAACTTTCAGCTATGAACAGTCTGACACCACCAGAGATATCACTCTTTGTAGTCTTCAAAGACTGCAAGAGTCACCCTTTTCTAGTAGCCTATTAGTATATTGTGCCTTTAAATATATACATATGTATATACAAATGAAAGGAAAATACAATTTGTAGTACTGGGCTTGTCACTGAATCCCTGGGCCCATTTCAATACAGAGGTTCCTGTTTATGTTTATGATTTAGGATTCATTTGGTATATATGGGCACCAGAAAATCAATTTAGCAAAGCAAAACCAAAACAAAACAAAACCCATTGCCGTGGAGTCAATTCTGGCTCATAGTGGCCCTATAGGACAGAGTAGAACTGCCCCATAGGGTTTCCAAACAGTGGCTGGTGGATTCGAACTGCTGATCTTTTGGTTGGCAGCTGAGCTCTTAACTACCACACCACCAGAGCTCCTAACGATGCCCAGGTGTCAATAAATCTGGTAAGTCATTACCTTTGAAAAAGGAGTGTGTGATCAGGGGGTGCCTTTCCCATCAGGGCCTGCCGGGCTATCTCATGCTGCCTCTCCATAGAGTTCCTTTCCTGGGTAAGAAATATGACCAGTAAATTATATTGGTGTTAAAAACTTGTCAGATGAGTCGAATAGCTATGATCATTCTCTTCTTACTACAGATGGCCAAATATGTGGGAAGAAAAAGGAAGAAAAGATAGGCGTAAAAAACACTGGAAAATGCACCTTGATAGAAGAAAAATAAACACTTCTAAACTGTATAATCCTGGACAAGTCACCTGTTAGGAATTGAATTGCCCCCCGCCCCACCAAGTATGTGTTGAAATCCTGGCCATTGTACTGGTGATGTGATTGCGTTTGGAAATAAATTTTTTTTCTTCTGTTATGTTAATGAGGGCATACCAGAATAGGGTAGGAATCCTAAACTTAATCACTTCTGAGTCATAAAAAGACCACAAAATTATTGACACAGAGACACACACGGGAAGGCAGACGCCATGTGAGAACCATCTACAAGCCAAAGAATGCCAGGGAATCAAGGTACACCCAGGGCTACTGACAAGGAAGGAATCGACATAGCTGAGACCCTGATTTGGACTTTTAGCCTCCAGAACTGTGAGAAAAGCCTGTTCTTTAAAGCCACCCAGTTGTAGTATTTCTGTTACAGCAACACTAGGAGACTAAGAGGCCACTTACCTCCCTGAGCTGACTCGTCTCCTGTACTGAAGGGAAATAGTATGGTGGACATCACTGCCCAATACTTTGTCATCCAGGTCCACTTTTTCACTGGCCTTCATACATTTGAGTATTTATTGGCATGTGCAGGCCTTTTCTGCTACACACATACTTTTACTATATTGGCTTTCAATGAATTGATCATTCAGTATTTTTTTTTTCCTGGAGAATTGACTTTCAGAGACTTGGCCTACTTCAGGAGCAAAGGTGACCCCTTAGGAGGAAGGAGGATCTGGTTGAAGAAATCGACACACTTGAAGTACAGGAAGTTGGGCTTCTTCTAGAATGCAAAGACCTAGTCACAACAATTCTGGAGCAAAAAATCTTAACTAAACCAGCATAGTCCTCATGTATGCACTCCAGGAAACCAATCATGCTGAAGCAGGGTGGGTGGCTACCAGTGAGGGAAACTGTGATGGTTAAGATTGTGTGTCAGCTTGGCTGGGCCATGATTCTCAGTGTTTATATGTGATCATTCCCATGATTGAATATGCTGTTAGTAGTCGATCAGTGGAAAGGGAATTTCCCTGGGGGTGTGGCCTGCATTTGAATATAAGCAGATGTTCTGGCTTTTTGCTGCTCTGGATCCTGCAGCTGCCTCCTGTTCGTTTGACCTCTGGTTCTTGGGACTTGAGCTGTCAGTTTATCTGCTGAACTTTGGATTCGTCAATCTTCACAGCCTGTGAGTGGAGCCCTGCTTTCTGACCTGCCGATCTTGGGTTCGCCAGCCCCTGCAGCTACGTGAATCAGGAGAAACCTTGCAGTCTTGCCTGCCAATCTTGGAATTCGTCAACCTTCACAGCCTGTGAGCGGTAGCCCTGCTCTCCGATCTGCTGATCTTGGGCTCACCAGTTTCTGCAGCTGCGTGACTTGGGAGAGGTGTCTACCCTGATCCACGGACTTGGGATGTTCTAGCCTCTACAATCGTGTGAGCTGTTTCTTTGATATAAATCTCTCTCTATATATATTTATATGCTTTACTGGTTTTGCTTCTCTAGAGAACCCAGCCTGAGACAGAAACTATAAACTAAACTAAACCCATTGCTCTCAAGTTGATTCCAATTCATAGTGACCCTATAGGACAGAGTAGAACTGGCCCATAGGGTTTCCAAGGCTGTAATCTTTATGGAAGCAGACAGCCACATCTTTCTCCCCTGGAGCAGCTGGTGGGTTCGAATTGCCGACCTTTTGGTTTGCAGCTGAGTGCATAGCCACTGCACCACCAGGGCTCTTTGAGGGAAACGATAGCATGGTGATATCTGACAAGTAAAACATAAGAACTTAGATTTCTGAAACCAATAGTAGATGTGAGTGTTGTATAAGTAAAAACTGCTCACTGGATACATGTGTTTTGCAGCAATAAATAATAAAGAGCTGTGCTTTTTTTTTATTCAAACTTAAAAAGAAAATTGTGTTTAAAAAGTAAGGCTGATTAAAATTATATTTACAGTTCTCCAAGAAGCATATAGAGATGTTCAAATTAATGTGCTTCGGGAGTCATTTGGAAAGGTAAATACCATTTAAGATATGAACAGACAAGAAGTAAAGCAATAAAGAATTGCATAAGAAAGGAAGGAGGAAATGGGTAAGTTGAATATTCCAACTATTGAATTATTTAAATTCATATTGAATTATGGTCATAGGAAGCATTTTATATTGATAAAATATTAGAAGATCTTTTCAGACTTGAACAGCAAACAATCGTATTCATGGGCACTTCTTCCTAAGAAAAGCAAGTCAATTGGGTCTTAAGTAAAACCCCAGTGACCTTATAGATGAGGAATAAAGAACAGGTATCAGTCTACTGGGAATCAGTAATACTGGGGATCTCCATGCTCCATCACCCCATTTTCTACAAAGAAGGAAGGCAGTAGGAGGACTAGAGATACAATGACCTCTTACAGACATACAAATAAAAATGCATGTTTTATACTTTTCTGTGTAGAGTTATTTCACATCTTTCATTAGATTTATTCTTAAATATTTGATTTTTTTGGATGCTACAGAAGTTGTCTTTTGAAAGCTATAAATATATATTTAAATTGTTGATATTATATAGAAATCCAATTTATTTTTGTATGTTTACATTGTATCCAATAACCTTGCCAAATTCACTTCATAACTGCTAACTAAACCCTACACTATTTATTACTTGTTCATGATTTATTTCACTGACTAGGACGTTTGATGCGATGTTGAATTATTTCTTTATTATTCTAGCCCCTTCTCCAACTAGTTAAACACTACACTTTTTCATCTTCTTTTAGTGTCATTCTAGAGATTAAATAAAATATGTGTCCTTGGCTGATCAAAGTCTGATATCATTACTTGTAGCCTCCTCCTGGACGTTAGATGCACAGATTTTGGAACACTTCATCTCCACTTACTTCCTTCATGACTTATTGTGCATTGTAATTCTATGTGTATTTTAAATAAAAATTATTATTGTTTTATACAGTCAGCATCCCTTTAGATTTACTTTCTCTTGCTCTGATCATTTTCATTCTGCCTAAAGAAAATTCTCTAGTGTTTCTTTAATGTGGTTCTTCTGTAACGAATTCTCTGCTACTTTTGTCTGGAAATATCTTTAATTTACCTTCATTTTGGAGGGATATTTCACTAGGTATAAAGTTCTAGGTTGGCAACAAAAATACCTTTCTGTCTTCTTGCATAAATTATTTCTTTTGGAAAGTCAGCTGTCAGCCTAATTGTTACTCCTTTCAAAGTAACCCTCTCCCGGGCCCCCCTGACTCCTCTTAGGGTTTTTTTTTTGTCTTAGTACAATATGATTTCAGAACTGAACAAATGTGAGTCTAAATTGAGTTTTTAAAACTTCTTGAAGCTGAGGTTTGATGACTTTGGTCAAAACTGTTAAATTCTCATCCATTCTCTCTTCAAATCTTGCTTCTATTCCATGTACTTGTTATTTAAGATTCAGTAACACGTTAGAACTTCTCATTGTTTGCTTCATGTCTCTTACCCTCTCATTATATTTTCCATCCTTTTATTTTTCTGAGATTCATTTTTCTGACCAATTTTCCAGTCCATTAATTCTCTCTTCAGCTCTGCCTCATTGGGTATTAATTTCAGTTACTGTTTTCTTCAGATTTTATAATTTTCATATAATTTTCTTGTTTATTGTCCCCACTGTTTTGCTGAAACTTTCAACTTTGTCTTGTATCTCCTTGAATATAATAAGTGCAGTCATTTTAAAGTCTGAGTATGAAAACACCAACGCCTAGAGATTTTAAAATCTGTTTGATACTACCAATATCTGGATGCCCTGGTGGCCTCTTTATATTATCTGTTGACGCTGTTATTTTTAGTTATGTATTCTCATGTGTGCCTGGCTATTTTTTTATTGTGCACTAGACATTGCATTTGCAAAACTGTTTCTAGAAATAATACAAGGATTATGCATGCTCTTTCCAAAGAAGATTTACATTTTTTTTTCTGCCATGTACCTGGGAACACTAGTAATCTGGGATCTTTTCAATGTAATTTCAGGGATAAGAGGGCTTGGAGTTAAACTTCAGTTCCTATGAAGTTCTGAATATTTCTTGTTCACCCTTACTCTTAGGGTGCAGCCCTTCAGGTACTAACCCAACACAAGCATGGTTCACCAGGGCTCCCTCCTTGATGGACCTCAGACTTCATTTCTATTGTCTTAGACCCATGAGGCTATCAGAAGTGTCAATCAGCCCCGGTTGTGCCTATCTGAATTGACAAGGGTCCAAAAGAAAAGGCAGCCTCTGGTGCCAGACTTATCTCCCAGAATCTTCATCCTTCCCTAACTCCTGGCCAAGTAATCTTTCACTCTACTGTTCGTTCTCTAATACCGTCAGGTAGTTTTTCTTTTTTTTTTTTTTAATCCAGGTTTTCTAGTTGTCCTCAGCAGAATGGTTGATCCAAGTTACTGAGTCTGCCATTATTGGAAGTAGAAGTCCAGTAAACCACTTGGAGGTTCTTGGTGATACAAAGGATGTTGTTGATTTTCCCAAAGGAGAGTTGTTGTTCTTGAATATAAAGAGGTACATCTGAGGGCCTGAACCCTTTCTCCTTCGCAGCCAATCATCACCACAACTAACATTTCTTTTTTGTCCATAATTCACAAAGAAGTTTCATGAGCATTTGATATAATAACATTGTAAAGTGGCTATTATTATTTCCACTTTACAGAAGAGAAATGGCAGCTCAGAGCAGATAAATGACTTTTGCAAGACTGTCACATGAACTCAAATTAGTGCAATTTCCCCTCAGGTTAAGGAGTCAATAATGAAACGAAGATAGAAATAATCATAGACAAGAAACACACACAGACACCAACACACAAAAATAAACATGTACTTGCCCCAATAGTTATGACATAGGCCACATGTGTCTAAGGTATCAGAATGTTTTCCATAAGTCACACACAAAACCAATCTCATTATTTTGTAATCACATCTTTACACACACTTAGCTGCAAACTATGCACCTGGAAAGAATGAAATATTACAGTGTTTGAACTGGAAATGCCTCATGCACACAGTGAGCTCTGACGTGGGTTTGAGCAGAAGAGGAAGAAGGGAGTCTTAAACATGAGTGGGAAGGGTGCTTCAGTGAAATAAACAAGAGAAGATCTGAAGATGGAACTTTCTACTTTATCACTGTCAAATGGCTCTCTTGATAGTTTCCAAAGGAAAGTGTGAATACATTAAACCTACTGTTAAGACAGCAAAAGAGCACACAATTTCTACCTTTTTGGGGGAGGAGGATTATATGATTACTCCATCGTTGTTGTTGTTAGCTGCTATTGAGTCAATTCCTACTCATGGCGACCCCATGTGTGCAGAGTAGAACTGCTCCATAGGGTTTTCAAGGCTGTGACCTTTCAGAAGCAGATCACCAGGCCTGTCTTCAAAGGCACCTCTGGGTGGGTTCGAACCACCAACCTTTCGGCTAGTAGTCAAGTGCTTAACCATTTGCACCACCAAGGGATTCCTTATTTGACTGTAGTGCTCTTCTACTCTTGCTAAATGGAAGAGTTGAGTTTCACCGGGAGCCTGGGCGAAAAGTACCCACAAGTCTTACATTGGATATACTATTTGTAGAAGCAGCACCTATTCTCAGAGGTGTAGAAAGAGGCTCATGTCTTAAGCTGACACCAGTGATAAAGTGGTTTTGGTATAAGTTACTAGCCACAAAAGGGATTAAGTCTTTCTGTCTGATGTTGTGTAATGGTCTCAGTTGCTGCTTCACCTCTTCCATGTCTCTCTTACCGCTGGCGTTATTTTGGCTGAAAGGTTGGCACATAATTTAACAAGGTAGTTTCTGTCTGTAGAATCCAGGAAATCATTTGGATTCAAAGTCGAAGTCTTCCTAGGAGGCCCTTCGGATTTCAGGGGAGACGTGTGAATATCTGGTAGGAAAAAAATAAAGTTTAAAATAAAAGGCATAGAGTTGGATGAGGAAACTTCCTGAAGTAACACAAATGTTTTGTATCTTGATTTGTGCAAATACAGCAAACTCTATACTTAAGTCTGTGCACTTTCAATTTGAAGATAAAATAAATACGAACAATGTGAGTCTTAGAATAAAATAATAATAATAAATAAAAAGCATAACATAAAATGTCAGCCCAGAGCACCTAGTAGACACATGCAGTGAGAATACCTCATGCTCAATCAATACAGGCTTAGGAATGGATTTAAAGTAAATAAAGCCCTTGGCAAAGACAATGGCGTATAGGAACTTAATTGAAAATTCACCCTTATAATTACTTTCCATTTACTTTCCATATGATAAAATTCTTCTAAAAGGTTAAAAAGAAAAGAAAACCTGCAAAGCTAACAAGAGACTTTGAAATAGAATAGAGTGGATGACGAGATCACTATTAAACAAAAGTCATTCATTAATAATGTCTAATGTCCAGAGACCTAAAACATACAGAATCTAAATTTCTATTATTTCTAATCTATAGAGGACCCAATATAAACACCTTTGGATACACAGGAGCATTTCCAGAAGTATTACCTTAAAAATGCTAAAGTAAATCATTTCCACAGGTACGTGTGGTCAATGTGGCTGACTGAGCAGTTGTGGGAAACTGCTCCCACCCAAACATACAAAAACACTAGATAACATATAGCAAGTCTCAAAGCCAAGAAAGAAAATCTCCAAGTGCTAGAAATGAAATAGAGACTCCAAGCGAGAGGGGTGGGAACTGATGTCAAGTGGTCAGAGTGTATCAGGACTGGCTACTTGCCTTAAGCGCTAAGGTTTGAACACCTGAACCAACAGGGGAGGCCACAGCCCCTGAGAGCTTAGCAACAAGATCTGAACTCTTTGATAAAGCAAGAAGCTGGAAAGGGGCGGTCTGGAGATCTCAGCCCACAGGCCGAGGGACTTTGACTGGACACAGATTCTCACCTGGATTGAAAGTGAAATACCTGTGGGAAATTGGACTCTAATTCTGTGCTATATGCCAATAGGGGATCAGAACTTGAACTTCCACCATATTCCGTGGCAATCCCAAGCCTATAAAACAAGTCTACAACTGGAAGAGATCCAGATTTATACCCATTCCCAAGAAAAGTGATCCAAC